TGGTGTTACATCGCCATCTTGTGGTTATTGATCTGAAGATATTTCCTTCAAAACAAAACCCAAATGCTTTGTTTTGCAACATACTGTATGGTGCAGAAAACCATTTGTGCTTGTGTGCTTACACACACACACACACACACACACACATGCCAGGAATCTGACCATCTGAAAAGCAGTGTTTTAGATTTGGAGACATGGGAAAGGAAATGTCTAAGACTAATCTTTTAATGCAGTCCCTTGCATGATAAAATAAGCTATGCAACCCATCTACTATTATCAAATACATGAGGATATTATAGCAATGCATTTTCTATAATACTATGATTTCAGTAGCAAAGTAAAAACATGTTTCCTCTATTTACCATAAACAACAGAGAAGAAATAATGTTTTTCTTCCTGCTCTGTTAAGAACTTGTTTACATCATAATATGTACCGTTTCTAATGGAATAGGGAAGTCGAGGTAAAGAAAACATACACAGTGAAATCAAATTTTCTTAGATGACTATGACTAGAAATTTACAAAGCAGCTTGTTACAAAATAAAGTTATCTAACTTAGTGTATGGGTAACACTATCCATTGAGAAGATATGTATTTCTGGGGTACAGAATTGCACATTTGATAGAGGACAGAATTGAGAGGATATTATGTAGAAAGTTCTATTTTTAAAATACTGTGATTTTTTTTTTTTGAAGAGAGACTTTAAAAGGAACACATATCTTAATATTCTCCTTCACAGCTAAGGTATACTTTAATAAACTCTCTTTAAATTTGCTTATTGAAATTTTAAATCCACATACTACTCTTAGAATTGATTCAATTGATTTGTGACTAGCACTCACAGAAATATAATCTGTTCCAGAGCGAATGTGATGGTAAGAAAGAGGGAAGGACCATTTTCCAGGGAGGCTTTCACCCAGATCACGTCTGCCTTTACAAAATTATGCACACAGATTAGCCCTGCACACTTAAACCCTAGAAAGATCAGTTGCAAAATAAATTGTTGTTAAATAAACTCAGTCATAGTTTTATTTATTCTCATTTTCATTTATTTACTGTCATTCTACGACAGGCAACAGTTTGCAGAAACCTATCTTTTTCTAATTATATATGTAATTACATTCATTGTGGGGCCATTAGAAAACAAAGACAAACAGAATTAAAATAAAATAAATTACCTATAGTCACACACCCAGTGATCACTGCTGTTGGCATTCTGGTATATAATCCAAATTCTACTTTTTTTTTTTTTTTAGAAAATAGGATTATGGTTCCATACACCATTATAATGTCCTGTAATCTGTTTTTTTCCCTTAACTATGAATTTACATAGCATTTATCATTCCATTTTACAGCTACACCTTAATTAATTTAAATTAGTCCCCATTACAGACATTTGGATGGTTTTCAAATTTTTATTCATATAAAACATACCGTAATGAATCTATATATAAGGGGTGTGTTTCATGTGTGACACACATACACTCACCCATATATATCTATTTGTTTTTATTTCTTACCTAATTATTTACATAGAATTTGTGAAATATTCCTAGGAAATACTTTTTTGATAGGAATTTCTAGGATAATGGATATTGACAATTAAGACTAATTACTAGTTAATTGCTCAACAGAAAAAATGTTCCAGGTTATTTTCCTACCAGTTTAAGTTTTCTTGTTTACCTTCAGTTCCAACAACTCCTCCTTTTTGTCATTGATGTTTGTCAAAGTCTAATGCACATACAGAAAACTGCACTAATCATAAGCCCTTGTGGTAGACTGAAGCCATCTTTCACCTCTCATGCTGGTACTGCTGACATTCACTACCTCATACTTTTTGGAGTGTTCTTTCAAAAACAGGTTTTCTTGAAAAGTTCATCTGTCCTGATTAACTCTTTGTTGCCTCAGGGTACAGAGCATCTCTAAATGAAAGCTCACTCATACCCACAGTTGATAAAGACTGAGATGGATGAGAACCTTACCTCAGGGGTTCCCACACTTAATTACACAAGAGAATCATGGAGGCGGGGGGAACTTTAAAGAGATACCAATGCTTGACCCCATTCCCAGACAAAGATTCTGGGGAGAAACTTGGTTGTTAGTTTTAAAAAGTCCCCAGGTGATTATAATTGGTAGGGATTGAGAACCACTGAAACCTCTTTCTCCTGGAGTGATAGATTCAATTCTACTGAATAGATAAATATTAACCTATAGGTGAAGAATGCCTCTGACTATTTGATGTCCTGGCAGACTTCCAGAGATGAGCTCAGTGTCTGAACCTTTGTCTTTTCCAACTACTGGACAATTCCACAGATTTCACTCCTAGAGCATAATTCTTTAAACTTACTATCTTGATTCACTGCAAATGTATACTGTCCTAAATGGACCAGTACTTTAGCTGGTCAGTTATTAACACCCAAATATGATTGAGCTTTGAGAGAGGTCGTGGTAAAGGAAGAAGAGCCATTGCCACATTCCAATGTTGAGTAGTATAATGAGCAGAAATGGAGGTACAGAAGCAAATCAATTATATCTGTAAACTTTGCATTAGTCCCAAAGGCATCTATGGCTTTTGGACTATGGTTCTGCCCTTGGGAGCCTTGGTAAACATTCTAGGTCTCACCAGAGAAAATTCAGAACAGTAAAATTGTGCAGCCCCTTGAACCATAATGGAAAAGAACATAAAAAAGAATGTGTGTGTGTGAATATATATACATATATATATGTATATATATATATGTATATATCTGTGTTTGTGTGTATATATATGTATATACATATATATATATATACATATATATGAAACTGAATCACTTTGCTGTATAGCAGAAATTAACATGACATTGTAAATCAACTATACTTCAATTAAAAAAGTGTGCAGCTCCCTTGGCATGTCAAAGGAGATAGGAGCCACCTGAAGAGCTCCCAACAGCTAAATCTCAAAACAACGTGAGTGACAAGACATATAAAGGAATGTTGGATTACAACACAAAGTACTAAATAAATACCCATGAGTCTCTACTGATATAAACAAATGTTTGAATAAATAAATAAATATGGGAGAATAGACAAATCTCTCATATGGGAAATTTCTAAATAATTTAGGTAGGTATTCTCCACTCCTTAGGTGTGAGCTGCACATAGCGACTTTTTTCCAAAAAGTACCATATGGAAAAGGGGGCATGGGGTCAAGATGAACATCATCAATTGTAAACCATATAGTACGCACCCTTGATATGATGTGTTAAGACTGGCACTTCCCCTGTGTTGCTCTCCTCACAAAACTTCAGGACTCCAGTCTAACCATGAGAAAACATCAGACATACCCACAATGAAAGACATTGTGCAAAACACATGACAAGTAACAATTCAAAATTGTCAAGGTCAATGAGGACAAAGAACGTCTGAGAAGGTGTCACAGCCACAGCAGGAGATAAGACAACTACATGTAATGTGGTACCTGGATGAGTTCTTGGAAAGGAAGAGGACATTATCTTCTAAACTAAGGAAATCTGAATCATGTGTGGACTTTAGCTAATAATAACATATTATATGTGTTCGTTAGTTGTGACAAATATACCATAATGATGTCAGATGTGAACAATAGGGGAAATTGTGTGTAATGTATGGAAATGCTGTGTACTTTCTTCCCAAATTTTCTGAAAATTTAAAACTATTCTAAAATAAAAAGTTTATCAAAAAAGTAAAGGAAAAAGAAAGAAAGTGTGATTCCCCAGAGCAGCAGTGAGAACAGCATCTGGGATCTTGTTAAAAATTCAAATTCTCAGGGCCCAGCCCAGACCTCCAGAATCAGAAACTCTGGGGATATAACAGCGATTTGTGATTCTGCTTCTGTGACTGAGAACTGCTTATCTAGCAGATTGGCCAAGGGCTCTGTTTCCCAGCACGTCTCGTTTTAGATGAGGTCATGTTACTTTTTCTTCAATGTTCAGGAGTGAAGAGTCAGATTAGCCTCTTAGTGGCTTCTGATTTCCCAATTGTCCCTTTCCACAGAGGGCTGCTCTGCTTGCCTCTCTTCTTATGTTATTCAAATCTCATCCCCAGGGTCCCTTTCAGACCCTTTTGTGCTCATGTCTTTCACAACTTTTCCAGTCCACAGAGATCTCCACCTTGGATATCCCCAGACTCATAACATGAACCAACTTGCATGTTTCCAGAGACCACAAATCACAGCAGAATGTGAATTCTCTGGAGACACAGGTGACCTTGGGCAAAATGTGTGATCCTTCTGTACTTGAGTTTCTTCATCTGTGATTTGGGGATGATGGAAGAGTATCTACCTCCTGGGTTTGTGTGGGAATTGTGAGTTAGTATCATAAGGTATTAATAATAATATCTAGCACTTAGTGAGGACCCAGTAAATGTGAGCTGCTACAATTGTTAGTGGTGGATGTCCTGCCTCTTAAATGTCTCTTCACTTCTCCCAAAACAGCAGGGTTTTGTGCACAAAATAATGTAATGGCTCAATAAAAATTGGATGAATTGAGTGAATACGTTGAGCCCACAAAATACAAGTTCAAACATAAGGACAGCTCTCCACCCCCCGACCACCCTGTCTGTCTTTGAAGGCACCTTGATTTTGAGTCAGGATGTTGGAAATCTTTCCTGTTGGTTATATAAGGTTTTTAGACTAAAGCTCAAAATTAGGTTGGAAAATACACCCCATGTGTGTATTTATCTTACTTCAGTCTTCATCCCCTACCTTTGTTCTGTTATCAATGAAAACACCATTTCAATTTTGATCTAAGATTATTCTCATTCCCGAGATCCTTAGCAGAGTGTCTGTTAGCCTAAAAGATGAGATTAGTCAGAAAAGAAATTAGCACCTCGGGGACTGTTCTAGCAGCAGGTGGGTAAGTGAATAGGTTGGAATCATGGTTCAGATTTTCCTTATTTGCTCTTTGGAACAGGTTAAATAGAAATGCAACAACTTACATGCCATAAAGAGACAAACCTTGGGTGTTTGGGTTTGTTTTTCAGATGGGCATTAATGTGGTGGATTCTGCAGTATCCGGATTAGGTGGTTGCCCTTATGCAAAAGGTGCTTCTGGGAACGTAGCCACTGAGGATTTGATCTACATGCTTAATGGCCTGGGGGTCAAGACAGTAAGTTAACTTAGCATATTTTAATATTCATACATTCCTTGCAGATTCAAATTGGAATGCTTCTTGGGTTTGGGAAGCAACTTTGAGGTCAAGTTTTACTACACTTTTGCTCTTTGCTAAAATGCATAGTGGGAAAATACAATAAAAAATTCTTGGGGCGAGCTTTATAAAGTAACTTATTGCTATAGTTAGATCACCAATAATGCTACCATTTCACATTTTTATGGTGCTTCATGACCTCCAAAGTCCTTTTTCATCTAGTATCCAGTTTGATTTCACACACTTTGCAAATTTGAGCCTGTCTTTGCTATGATGATTATTGTTTTTGCTGTTTTGTTTTCCTTGGAGGAAAACTAAGATCTTGATTTTCTCATGGTCACAAGTAGGGCTTCTGGAAGAGAGCCCAGGGCACTTTTAAAATGGCCAGTGGAGGACCACAGCTTAATAATATTTAGCATGTGAGCAAGAATACTCTCTTTACAAGTGCTACCTGAAAAAGTCACATGCTCTATAATAACCCACCAAAATTAGTACCTTGTTTTGCCACATGTTTGCTAAAATGGCCTACCAGTCTCTAAGGCAGATTTTCTTTTTTTTAAGGATAAAATATAAAAGGCAAAAAACTGTTCACAGATTATCAGAAGTTCAAAATATTTTCTGAGATGTAAAGCATCACCTGGATTGCAGAATGGAATTGTCCTCTCCATCTCTCCTCTCTCTCCTCTTCCCTCGTTCTACTGAGCGATGCTCCTGCAGCAGCCAGCTTGTCTGCACTCTCCTTCCCTGTGGCGTTCAGTTTCTCACCTCCACCGCTTGCTCCTGCTTTCACCACCCCTTGGAATAGCCTTACTGCCCATACTCGATTTCACCTGGAAAGTGAGGCACCACCATCCTCAAAAACGCACCTTCTAGCATCTCCCTGCTGATTTCCCAGGCCCACACTGCTGGGTTCATCTCCTCCTCCTCCAGTGTTTCCAGGCTACCTTTGTGTCTTCCTCTGAACCTACCACAAGGCTGTAGAACCATCTTCTTTCTGTGTCTAGGTCCCCCTGCAGGCAGAAATATAGTATGGCAGTTGATTCACAGGTGCCTGTTGCCTAGAGACCCTCAATAATGTTCAGTGAAAGACTGATACCACTTGGCACTAAACACCAGGAGCCTCTCTTCTCTGGTTAGAAATAGCTATTACAAAGTAGCCTGATTGTTTCCGTCATTTCCATTAGAAATGTATGACCGTGACAGAAGTAGAAATCCTTTCTTTTCTTAAAATTTATTTTATTGAAGTATAGTTGACCTGCAATGTTGTGTTAATTTCTACTGTAAAGAAAAGTGATTCAGTTATATATATATATATATTCTTTTTAATATTCTTTTCCATTATGGTTTATCACAGGATACTGAATACATTTCCCTGTGCTATACAGTAGGGCCTTGTTGTTTTATCTGTCCGGTATATAATAGTTTGCATCTGCTGATCCCAAACTCCCAATTCATAGAAATCCTTTCTTGAAGATTTAAATGACTTGGTTGAACTCAGCTGAGTCAATATATGAACTCTGCTTCATATGTGTTAGGCCATGCGGGTCCAAATGCAAATAAGCCATGTCTCCATTCCTAAGAATTTCACAGTTCAAGGACAGTTGTTACATTGGATATCAGCCAACAAGCCAAGATTCTCTGTACAACCTGTATCACTATGTCTCCCATGCCTAGTCAACTACCAAGAGCTACTGCTTCAACTTCTAAAATATTTTGGTTGTTTGTTCCTTCCTTACTATCCTTGCTGTAGCTACATCAGCACAAGTTCTTATCTCTTTCCTGGATATTCATCCTCCACGCTTGTCTGCTGGCTACAGACTGCCTTTAAGTTCATCCTCCATGCTACCATAAAAGATTTTATCTAAAATACAAATATGAATATCCCTTGTTCCCACTTGGGTACTCATCAGTGGATTCCCATGTTCTGAAAAGCAAGGCTGTGCTCTACACCTTTTATACCTTTTCCAGTCACGTCTGCCCATTACTTTCCATGTATCCCATGGTATTTTTCAGATGTCTCATACTCTTCTCTGCTGACAGTGCCTCATTCCTCTTACTTCTTCTCAAGGACTCATACTGTCCATGCAAGCCTCAGGTCAGGATTTACCTTCCTGGCACCCTTCCCTGACACACTCCTCTCCATTTGTTTCCATACCCTTTTCCTCAGTGGGTTGACTACCCTGCAGCTCTGCCCTCACGATCATCCGAGCATCTCTCTCTCTCAGTGACTTTAGTGGAAGTACTGGATTTCCTGTTTAGGCCTCCATATTGCCTGCCTGACCACAGGCACCCTCAAGACAGAAACCATATTTTTCGAGAAGTTCTTGAAACCCCAAAATGGATCATAGCACATGAGACGTATTTAAACATCTGGTTTAAGTGCTAAAAGATTTAAGAATAAATGCAACATTATTTCATAAAGGTATCTGTTCATTAAATTAAATGGTAGAGGAAGGCCAAAACAGAATCCTTTAGTACGATACCAACCAATCCCACTGCGTAATTGCTATAAATGGAATTACTGGAAAGCAAAGAAGAATGCTGGTGACTAAAATCTTATTATCTTTTTGTTTTTTGCGGTACGTGGGCCTCTCACTGTTGTGGCCTCTCCCGTTGCGGAGCACAGGCTCCGGACGCGCAGGCTCAGCGGCCATGGCTCACGGGCCCAGCCGCTCTGTGGCATGTGGGATCTTCCCGGACTGGGGCACGAACCCATGTCCCCTGCATCGGCAGGCGGACTCTCAACCACTGCGCCACCAGGGAAGCCCTCTTATCATCTTTTGTTAGATGTAATTCAGAAATGAAAGACACACATGTAGCTTATTATTTACAAAATTTACACATTACTAGATTAAGGATGTAAAACCAAAATGTGCCTAACAGATACTCCACCCAAAACCATTACTATGACAAAACCAAAGCACATGTTAGTACCCTAAAAACAACTTCATAATAAAAAGAAACAGTGAAAATTACTTACCTGTCATTTTACAAAATATTTTTGATGATTTTTAAACAGAAGTAAACTGCAAAGAAAACAGTGCCCTAAAAGTTTCTAGAGAGAAGTAACTACCTATATTAAAATGATGATCTCTTTTTGATCACTTGTATGAAAAGCCCCTATGAGTATTTATACTTGTCTGTTTTAAGAAAATGACAAACTTACATAAATTTTAAAAACTACTCCTTAATAGCAAGGGAGCCTGAGTCTGTTTGATTTTAAGTCCCTGTTGTTTCTAGTCTGAGTTGAGAGAGGACATAGGAGCTTACGAAATATTCCATGGGGCAAATCTCTGGTTAATCCACCTAACACTGTGCCCCCGTTCCACCTTCCTCCCCCGCCAGTGACAGCACAGGTGCAGGGTGGAAACCTTGATGGTGATCTTTGGCTCCACCAAGCCCAAGATGCCGAGCCTGCCTTGAACTTGGCCTTCATACTCAACTGTCGATCTGTCATCTGTGGATTTACCAAAGCCTTTGTTGATCCTACTTATGCTTTCAAACAGTACAGCCTCTCAGGCAAACAAGTTCCAGATGTGTACTAAATACTACTTCATTTTATTGGACTACCTCCTTCAATTTCATGCCAGTAAGAGTGTTTCTGAACATGGTTAAAAATTATACATTCATCTTTCCCACATTTCTTACAGCTTTATCAGGTTTGTTTCTTTATATCCTAAGGTATACTAAGAGGGTTTTTTTCCCCCCCTAAGTCCTTATCTTTGAACTCCTCCAAATGATTATCATTTTAATTGCCCTTCACTGATATTTTGTAGTCTTTCTGGTTCCACTGTTGTCCTTTGTAGAGTTTAGGTATCAGTATGAATTACACTGAGTTATTCAGGTGTGACTAGCCTATGGTTTTATACTAGGGTCAGATTCAAGATATGTTTTAATAAAGCAGAAAAATCTAAATCTACATAATTCATGGAGATAAATGCTGCCCCCCATCAATAATGAACAGCATTTTGTTTAGTAATTTTAAATGGTTAAGTAACTACTAATATAATTAAAAGGAATCTGTTTTGTCTTCTTTCTCCTTAACCCCCTTCCCCACCTGGTATCACTGTCATCTTTGTCTCACCAGGGTGTGAATCTTTACAAAGTGATGGAAGCTGGTGACTTCATCTGCAAAGCTGTGAATAAAACTACAAACTCTAAAGTAGCACAAGCCTCATTTAATGCTTGACTTGAATGCATTTGTGAGTTAAGGCTGAGAAGCTCCATTTCAGCTACAGATACTCATCTGAAAATCATTACTGCCAACTTGTTCTGAAATGTGAAGTAATAGACAAGAGTGGGGGAAAAAAGAGATACTTTGAAAAAGAGTAGGCTGGATAGATTACGAAATTGACGGGAAGATACACCAGTCATCAGGTGAATTGCAAGCCGGGGCTAAATAATAAAATTTGTGGACATGCTTTGAACTTGGAGAAAAGTCTACTCTTTTGCTCTTATAGAAATAACTTTTTAATTTAGTCGACGTGAAAATTGACTTCAGATTTCCCTAAGTATCAAAAACTGTGCTAATACTTAATCAAGCTGGCTTAGCACAGAGTACATATCATCAGTAGTTTATGAGCTCCTGCATCGTGTGCAAAGTGTGTGGCCTCCATATTATATGTTATGTGTCTCTGGATATCAACTTCCCATTAAATTATGGACCAAGTGCCAAATGTCCATCTGACCCTACATAATTTTTAGTGATAAAACTTTTATATTTCAAGTATGCTAACATCTGTTAATTATTTCAGTGGCTTTATCTTGTTCCAAGAGGCTGTGGTCAGTGACAAGATGCCACACCCTGGAAACATATTACCTTCCGTGTTTGTCACATGCATCCAGTTTACCTTGCTTTCCCTCTCATCAGCTGTAGTGAAAACCAGGAGCGTGTTACTTGGCTATTGAGAAATAAGAGGTACAACTTTCATCCCAATGTCTAAGTTGCAGTCATAAGAATAGAGTGATACATGTACTTTTATCATTTTCAGCTCACTTCCAAATTGTCCAAGAAATGTCACTGTGATCCTAAGAATATTAAGGCAGTTATTAAAATTCATGAAAAAAGAACAACTTTTCCATTGATTCAGTTTGATTAAATCACATCTGTTTGGGCTTGACTTTTTATGTTATTTTTAGTGTTGAAGTGGCTGAAATTTTATCTTTTGTAATAGCATTGCCAGAAATAGCAAAAATTAATATATCAAAGTTGAGAAGAGGCACAGGACGGCTATGTTAAGAAAGAAACATTTCTGTAACCTATGCAGATCATGTGGGGACAGTATTATTCCATGTGGATCTGAATCGTCAGTTTTATTATTTATGTAGACTTCTCCAACGATACTGGGTGATCTTATCTTTGAATAAATTTGAATAGAATTTGAAATATGAAAGTGAGCATTGTGAGCTTTCTGTTAAATATTCATCAAAACCACAGAAATAAAAAGAAATTCAAGAAAATAAGAGAAGTACTGATTATACCTACATTAACTTTAAAGATACACAATCATAAGAAAAGGATCACAAGGGAAGCATATTGGAAATTGACAAAAACTAAGTTCCTATGGATAAGGCTAACACTCAGGTCATGATGGGTAACAGAGCAGGAGCTTGTCATCAGAACTGAATGACTCCTTGCATTTGGGTTAGTGCTGGGGCAGGGTCAGTGCAGAGAGCAAGCAAAATTGCAGCTCTTTGTGGATCTGTTACATTGTCCCTTTTCAGAAGAACATGACACTGCACCCAGGGGCAAGAGTGGGACACGTGCCCTAGTGTGCACAACAGGATACCTACCCATCTTCTGAGGAGACTGACTTTCCTCTCTCTTATGCAACTGTGGAATTCTTAGTTTTGAGATGTTCGGCAAAGCATCAGTTGATGCAAACTGCTTATAGAAACAGTGAAAGGCAAAACTTTGTTGTTTAGAAATAAAAACTACGACTCTCCCAAAGGCAGAGCAAGTCGTGAGAACCCCAGGTGCAGCCTAGCACACACTTACATGGCACACACATCAGTCTACCAGTTCATATCCCAGAACACCTGGAAGATTCCTAATCACACGCACCACAGGAAAAGTTTGTGTTTTAGGTCTCTGTTATCCTTTCTCCACCCAAACCATCTAAACCCTTCTGCTAACTTAAAGAGAGTTTCTTTTCTGGTTTGGGGGGAAAAAAATCACATAATCAATAAAACTGCCTGAAGTCCATAGGCAGAATCCCCTCAAAGCTATGTTTCCACTAACTAGGAAACTTTGGAATTGTTGTAGGACCTACCCAAACAACACACCCACACATAAACCCACACCAGGGTTTGCCCTGGGTGAAAGCTTAGGAATGGCAAAGCAATTATGAAATACATATAGAAGTAAACTTTTATGATATCTGCCCTTTAAGACTACTGTAAAACGTAGAAATTTTCTAAATTCTGGATTCATGAAATTCATGAAGCAAAGAAATGGAAACTGCCTATGACTTGCTGAGAAAATTCAGAATGCCTTTTTATGTTATTTATTCTGATCACTATAACATTTAATAAATATCCTTTTAGCTACACTTATATGGCTATTCATTTCTATTTATGTGCATGAACTCCAGACATGCAAGTGACAGGTTACTTAGCATTGAATACGTAAGCCACCAATATCCCTATCACAGCAGTAAAGGAGAGATAAAATAAGGCCTGGGAACCCTCCAGAAATCTGTATTAAATAGGCACGTGAAGAATTGCTGTGAATACCCATAATCATTTGCAAAGTGCTTTTGTGCACTAGAAGATAGAAGTTTTATGCTTGTATGGGGCAGGTCTAAAAGTTAAAAAGGAATAGTTTTGCAGGTATAGAGCTTGGGAGGAAACGGGGGTCTAGGGAGGAAGGCAGGGAGGAGGGATGCAGGATGGAAGGAGGAGGAGACGGTGGGGAGAGAGGGAGGGAGAGAAAGAGAGGGTTGAGAAACTGTATTTACATCCTGCCTGTGAGCAGCTCCAGTGGAAGGCATCTCCTGCTCTGGTAGAAGCATCAGTTAGGCTGCTTTAAACTGCAAGCAATAGAAAACCTTAAGCAGCAACGGTTTTCTCAGATATCTCAGAAATATTGCTTTTCCACCATCATTTAGCTTCGTGACTCAATTATGTTACAAAATAAGAGTTTCTGCCCATTTCCCTGTTGGCACCTTTGGGCTCCTGCACCTGGGAGTTGCAAGATGGTTGTAGCACTTCTGGGCTTCACCCTTCCCACAGGGCTCAGCCTCTGCTGAAGCCTTTTTCTTCTGGAATGCCTGTTTTAAATCAATGAAGAGCGTTTCCCCCACCCCATCCCAAACTTCCTCTCCTGTTTCACTGGGCAGAACATCATCATGTGCCCCTCCCTTAACCACTTATGTGCGGAAAAGAACATTAGGATACACAAGCCAAGGTTATGCGTGACCTTGAGTGGATCCGTGCAATGGTGGGGAAAGAGGACTCTGTAGGAGCACATTTCCTGGTGAGACAGGGTGGGAGAATTGAAGGCAGAAGAGCTCACACCTCTCAGGAAGGAGCTGTATCCAAGTTCTCTGAAACTGGAGGAATGGATGGAAATAGAAAAAGTTTCAAACGTGAGAGGAGTAGGTTTTAAGGGGAAAGTAGTCCATCTTGCTAATTGGTCTCTATATTTTTCAGGAAGGTAGGAAGTGAGATCTGCAAGCATTACAACTGCAGGTGGAGTGAGGGCTTGAGAAGAATGGTAATGTGTGAAACCCATCCAGAGCAGTATTGGAGGTTAACGTACTCTAAAAAAATAGTACAGATGAACTTATTTACAAAAACAGAAGCAGACTCACAGACATAGAAAACAAACTTATGGTTACCAAAGGGGAAGTGTAGGGGGGAGAGATAAATTAGGAGTTTGGGATTAACAGACATACACTACCATATGTAAAGTAAATAAGCAACAAAGATTTACTGTATAGCACAGGGAACTATATTCAATGTCCTACAATAACCTATAACGGGAAAGAATAGAAAAAAAAAGAATATGGATATATACATATATACGTATGACTGAATCACTTTGCTGTACACAAGAAACTAACAATATTGTAAATCAACTATACTTCAATTTAAAAAAAAGGAAGTTAACTTACTCTGTAACAGTTTTCCAGGGGCTGTTATGTGCTAGATCTAAGTCCACTTCCTGGGCCTCATGAGACCTTTACACCTCTGTGTTCCACACACTTCCCCCTCTTGAAGCACTTCTTGATTTCTGTGGCCCTTCTCTCTCCTGGGTCCTACTACATCCTTGGTCCCAGGTCCTACCACCCCTTTCATTGTTTGGTCTCCTTCTTCTCTCTATTGTGTTTAACTAGAGAGTCACAAATGCAAAATTGCCTACACCCCACCCCTTCATCCAAATGTGTTCCGTGGCCAGCAGGGTTGTCATCACCTGGGAGCTTTTGGGAAAAGCAGAATCCGGGGCTCCACTCCAGACTGACTGCATCACCACCTGCATTTTTAACAAGATCCTTGCAGGACTCATATGTTTATTAAAGTTTGAGAAGCACTTGCCAGTTTGACACCTCCTCCCGGGTATCTAATGGGTATTGGAAGCTCCATGTATTCCAAGTACCTTGTGGCACTTCTCCTTGTGTGTTGTGTCCTAGCCTGTTGTCTTTTCTCTGCTCCTGGAACAAGCCAGCCTGGGACCCATTGCAGGTCCTTTACCTGGTTATTCTCTCTTCCAGTCATGGGTCATGCTCCTTCCCTGGCTGTGATTTCTGGTCACTCAGGTCCTGACAGCATAAATATCACCTCCTTAGTGAGTCTTCCCAGACAACTCCAACTAAAGTAAGGCTTTAGTTACTTTCTCTCACATCAACTTGTTTCATTTAACTCTTTACTTGTTTATTTAACTCTCTACTTGTTTATGTAGTTGTTTATTTTATTTCTTTCCCCAAGAAAATACACACTCTAAGAGGGCAGGGTCTTTGCTGTGTTTAACGTTCTTACTTCTTTAGGGCCTGGCATAATAACTATCAATTACATGGTGGTCAGGTGGAAAAATAAAAATAGAAATGAGTTAATTTCAAACAAGAAGAAGGGGAGTATGTGACACAAATGTCACATCCCCTGCCACCTTCCTCCCCTTGACTCTGTTTCCTGGCAAGATCCAATTGAACTAGTTTGTCATCAGGATTTCTCCAGGATGCTTGGATCGGAGACAGATTTCACCAATTTTCTATACGTGGTATCCCTCAAGCTTATTATAACAACAAATTAAAATATACACATCAATTGTGAGAAGGAGACACTGACCCAAATGCTCAGCCCCAGAAGAGAGGAGGTGTACTGGACTTAATGCCCATCCATCTGTCCTAAGTTGTCTTTGGCATCATCTGATCTATTACTTAACTGCTGTGCAACCTCAGTCGATTTACCAATCCCTTTAAACCTC